AGGGCATTTGCACTTGCCATGATAAGAATGGAAAGGGCTGTGGCAAACTGGATGGTGGTTGCCTTGTTTAAAGGGGCAGTCAAAACCCAGCTTCAGCCCTTCCTTGCTATATGTTAAGTAATTTTGCCCGATATCCTCAGATTTTTAAGAAAACTTGCAAATCTATACTTTATGAAAGACTGTAAAATAATTTAAGGCAGGTTCATCTTTTTTTTTTTTTGAGACACAGTCTCACTCTGTCTCCCAGGCTGGAGTGCAATGGTGCAATCTAGGCTCACTGCAACCTCTGCCTCTGGGGTTCAAGCAATTCTCCTGTCTCAGCCTCCCAGGTAGCTGGGATTACAGGTACATGCCACTACGCCTGGCTAATTTTTTGTATTTTTAATAGAAACAGGGTTTCACCATGTTGCCCAGGCTGGTCTTGATCTCCTGACCTCAAGTGATCGACCCGCCTCAGCTTCCCAAAGTGCTGGGATTACAGGTGTGAGCCACTGGGTCCAGCCTAGGTTCAATTTTTAAAGTGTGTTTTCACAAAACATGTTTTTTCCCCTTAGTTATGTGATCTGTTTATCAGTTCCATTTCATCTCATCATATGATTACTGGCTATAATTAGGAGGCCATCTCAAATCAGTGTAGAATACACTTATGCCTCAACAATGACTTTTCTAAATGTGATGTTTTATGTTTGAGTAGGGAGGTAACATGGTTGAATATTGGTTCCTCCCAAACCTCATGTTGAAATGGAATTCCCAGTGTTACAGACACAACAGGCTCATGGGGATGGATACTTTATGAATGGCTTTGCATCATCTCCTTGATCATGAGTGAGTTCTTCCCCGAGTTCATCTGAGATCTCATTGTATAAAAGTGTGTGGCACCTCCCTCTCTCTCTCTCGTGCCTTTTCTTGTCATATGACTACCTGCTCCTGCTTAGCCTCTGTCATGAGTAAAAGCTTCCTGAGGCCTCTACAGAAGCTGAGCAGATGTCAGCACCATGTTAAAAGAAAGAGGTTTTTAACTGGCTCGTGGACCTGCAGAACCACGAGCCAGTTAAAAACCTCTTTCTTTTATGAATTATCCAGCCTCAGGTATTCCTTTATAGTAGTTCAAATGGACTCACACAGGAGGTTTCCAGTTTGTTGATCAGTATAGGCTATGGCAAGACACGGTAACTATTTACTCCATAAAATCAATGGCTATAACAACAGAAAATGTATTTCTTACTTCTATTAGATAGTCATATTTTTAGGCTGCAACTGTACTCCAAGTTGTCTTCTCTTTGGGTCCAAGAATGACAGATCTATCTCTATCTAGAACATTGGTGCCCATCATGGGCAAGAGAAAAGCAGCACAATCTCTTAAAGCATTGGCTTGAAATTGACAACTGACACTGAAACACACTGGCCAAAGCAAGATATTTGGCTATGGAGTGGGGAAATTCAATTCACACCCACTGAGATGGGAGGGAGCAGTCATTCATGAACAGTAATGTTACTGAAAAACTATTTTCCACTAGATTAGTGTCATTTAGGAGTAGCTACTACTTTAGTTGCCTAAGGTAAAACCCTCAATGCCCTCACTATTGACTTCCTTTGGTTTAGGAAACCAGCAGGTATGGCCATTTCGTGAAAATAAAAGCGAACATCCACTCATTTGTCTACAAGAAAGTTGTGAAAGCCTCTAAAATTTAAATGCATTTGTTATTAAGATGAAGATGCTGAAAGTACTATTTAATAATGTGCATTGGAGAAATCTCTAATCCTTGTCAAAGGTGTGAGCAGACTCCAAAAGAACAATGTGTTGTTCTTTACATGGAGTTATTTAAAAACTCAGTAGCCTGGATTAGGGATCAGCCAAGTAAGCCCTTGGGCCAAATCCAGCCTGCAGTCTGTTTTTGTTAATACAGTTTATTGGGACACAGCCATGCCCTTTGGTTACAGATTATCTGTAGCTAATTTCTCACTGTGATGGCATAGTGAATTATTGCCACGAAGACTGTAAAGAACACAAAGCCTGAAATATTTACTATCTGTCTGGTCTCTACAAAAAGTTTGTTGATCCTTCACTTATGTTAAATGTTATTACGACGAGCCAAGCTACTAATTTATTTATTTATTCATTAACAAAATATATGATTTTGTGTATCATTATATGTCTAATTCTATGAATGCTGCTGGGCATACTAATGAACAAAATAGAGTCTTCCCTTCATGCAAGTTATGGCCTAGTGGAAAAGATAGATATTAAATAAATTATTGTTTAAATAAATCTAAACTTTACACTAAACAATGTGAGACAAAGAATAAGGACTCACAAATATGCATAATAAAAGAAGCTAATTCAGATGGATATGTCAACTACATCTTCCTTAAGGATATGATGCTAGAGCTGAGATTGAAAATTTAAGTGATGAGAATGGCATGTGCAAAGGTCCTGGGGAAATGGAAGGCTTTTTGTAGTCCTAGTGAAAGAGAGTACGGGCTGCAACAGCAGTGAAGATGAAAAATGAGTGATTTCAAAGAGACTAGGTGGTGGAATCAACAGAATCAACAGGTCTTGGTAACAGACAAGAGATAGACATTAGTGAGAAAAAGAAATTAAGAAGGACAATCAAATTCCTGAGTCACCCAATTAGATGGATGGTTGATAAAATAGGATTATGAAGAGAGTCAGGTTTGAAAAGGGACTTTGGAAAGAGCTGAAGCACATTCAAGGACATGGTGGACATCCTGGTGAAGATGAGTTTTGGGTCTAAGCCTCAAAGGGATATTTGAGCTGAAGTGTGACTTAAGCAATCAGTATACAAGATGTTATGTACAACGGAAAGAGATAAAGGTCTTGGGGCTGAGTTTTGAGGTCCCTTAACATGTCACATCTGAGTTGAAGAGGATGAGAGGGCTCAGAGCACACCAGAAGAGCATTGTTTTACCAGCGGAAGAAACCAGTGGAAGAGAGTGCTTGAAGGAGGAAGTATCTAACAGACGTGCAATTAGGGTATTAAACAAGAGACCCATGACAACGACTGGAGTCAACCTGTGCAGATCCAATGCTCTGAGAAACTACTGTGGGAATGGAAACAGTGAGTAACGAGTGGATTTCTGGCAACACCGTGAGTCAGCTGCAGCACAGAGTGGATTCTTTTGGAAGACTAACTGTGCTTCTTGCCAATGCCAGAGTCACTAGTATCTTCTTTTTTAAGCTGAGTAAATATCCCTGGAATGAGTCTTTGAGGATATCTAGAGAAGAATGGGTTTCCTGAGACTTATGGGAAGAAGCTCAGAATTGTAACCATTTAAATATTGAATTGATGTTATTTTGTTATTCAAACATATACCTCCCAATGACCTCTGCACATACTAAAAAGGAACAAACAAAAATGTATAGCAAAGTTTTCTAAATGCATAAGCACCAAAGGTCCAGTGGCACATGCATAGAAAAGTGAAATAATGCTTAAACTGAATTAATTCATATAATCAAGGAAGTCAAAACCAAAGGTGATCAGAAAAATATTCTCTCTACAAAAGTCATAGGAACCTTGTGGAAGATGGTGAACATTGGCCTGGTGCCAACTGGTGTATTTTTGTTTCCTGTTAAGCTCTTTTTTTTTTTTTTTGAGATGGAATCTTTTTCTGTCATCCAGATTGGAGTGCAATGACTGGCACAATCTCGGCTCAGTGCAACCTCTGCCTCCTGGGTTCAAGTGATTCTCCTGCCTCAGCCTCCCGAGTAGCTGGGATTACAGGCATGTACCACCACACCCAGCTAATTTTTGTATTTTTGGTAGAGACGGGGTTTCACCATGTTGGCCGGGATGGTCTGGATCTCTTGACCTTGTGATCTGCCCGCTTTGGCCTCCTAAAGTGCTGGGATTACAGGTGTGAGCCACCACGCCCAGCCCTGTTAACCTCTTTGATGACACATTCCTCCCAATTTTCTCCACTTGACCTTCTTTCATTGCTGAAATGCACCATGCCCCAGCCTGTCTCAGTGCCTTAGCACAGGCTATTCCCCTTCCCCAGAATGCTCCCTTCTGCCTCCTGACCTCTGGAACCTGTGGATATGTTACCATACATGCTGAAAGTAACTTTGCAGATGTGATTAAGTTAAGAGTTTTGAGAGGAGGAGATTATCCTGGATTCTCCAGGTGGGCCCAATGTAATCACAAGGATTCTTATGAGAAGGAGGCAGGAGGATCAGAACGAGAGAGAGAAGATATAAGCCTGGAAGCAGAGGTCAGAAAAGAGAGCTGATGCTCCACTGCTGGCTTTGAAGATGGAGGAAGGAGCCATGAGCCAAGGAACCTACCTGGCCTCAGACACAGGAAAAGGCAAGGGAATGAATTGTCCTTAGAATCTTAAGAAGGAACCGGTCCTGTCCATACCTTGATTTTATCCCAGTGTGACTTATTTCCAACTCTGACCTCCAGGGATATAAGACTTATGTATTGTTTAAGTCACTAAGTTTGTAGCAATTTATTATGGCAGCAATTATTAATAATTAATAGTTATTAATAACTAATAATTACTACCTAATGAACTATCAATAATACCTAAATAACCTCTCATTCTATGCAATTTCTTCAGGAAATTCTCTCAGGACATTCCATTTTAGATCAGATCCCCCTACCATCATAAACCGTCAAACTCCCCACAGCTTTTCCTTCGTAGCCCGTGGAACCATGTGATACTGTATATTTGTGGGATTATTTGACTGCTGTCTGCTCCCACATTTCCTGTTAAGCAGGCAAGACCATGGCTCTTCCAAGGCAAAGAACAAAATGAAGCAATGAATGAATGAGGGAGTATTGTAGAGGCAGTGGTGGTGATTATTTTTGGTACTAAAAAAAAATTAGAGTTAAGAAAGGAATGAGAAGGAGGTGGTTTGTATTTTATGTTATCCAGTTCCATTTTCATTCTAACTCTCTGCCAAGCAGAGTTTCTCCTTTAGTTCACCTGGGAGAGGACTAAAAAGCATGACAATGTTGACAACCTTCTCTTACCCTTGTCAGAGGGTGGGCAGGCTCAAAAGTAGTGGGCTTAGAGTGCTTGCCTTTATCCATACATGCCTTGAGCTGGATTCCTAAGGGTCAGATGCGGTGCAGAAGTGACGAAACTTGAAACATCATTCTTCAAACTCAAAGTATTAAAATTCATCTTGTTCTGCAAAATATAGCAAACGCAATTATTTTGTGGAATGCTGAAATAGATGAACACATCACCTTATTATCTAGTGTTTACCAGGTATCTCAGTTGCAAGCAACAAACCAACTCTAGTGGGTTTAAATAGGAAACACATTTGTTTTTTGAGCCACCAGAGAAATGAGAAGAATGGAGAGGCAGGCATAGAAAACAGAGGCTAAAAGAAAGGGGGCAGCAGTCAGGACCAGGCTTGTAAGCACCTCACTCTTGCCCTGACAAACACAGATACTACAGCACATTGCCCACCATTACTAAACCTTTCTTGCTGTGACTCCTGTCACCTCCACAGCATTTCTGGCACCTCAGCTCCCTCTACACATGGGTAATTTGATGTTGCTGCTGCTGCATCTGCTGCTGCCAAAAGGAATAGTCTTCTGCTCCACCTGTGAGCATCATTAGCCCCGACTCATGTCCCAGGATGCTATTGGCTGGCCCTAGGGCACATGCTTGTCCCCCTACAACAGGGGAAGATGGGAAAATGAGCAGCCAGTCTCTTCAGCTTCTATAGAGAGAAGGGCATGCTGTCTCCCAGCAAGGTTTCATTTTGGAAGAAAGGCCATCCAAGAATAAATTACGTTTTTAAAATGTAATAATAAAAAGCTAACTTTCACACAAGCAGCATCCTTCTTTACATAGTTTGAAGAAGGCAAATTTAGAAACTCAGAGTTTAAGTGATCCTGTATCAAGATATAACTAACTCCCTTGATTTGAATTCTTTTTCTCTGACCTTGGGCAATTTACTTAACCTTTATCCACAGGTAAAGTGCTGAGCTCAGGTCTGAATCTCAAGACTTATTACCTATTATTTTATAATCTAAGCTGTGTCCATCCTTTTTGTCAAAGTCAGCATGATGTAGGAATATCTCATGTTTTTGGAGAGTCAGTTTTTCTTAAAGGGAGGGATTACATTTCCCCTAGTCTGTTGGCCTTGCAGAGAATTGGGTACTGTTCATATATTCAAACAAGGTTCTTATTTTCAATTCCACCTGATTTTTTTTTTCGTAAGCAGCACATGAAAGAAATGTATTGAGTTTCCCAATCAATGTAAGTTTATTATTGCTTACCCAAGTGTTTAATAAACCCATCCTCAGCCTGGGAATAGCTTTAAATACTTCATTGACTGTAACAAAGCTACTATTTTCTTTCTGGTCAAAGTGGCCATATAAACTATAATTAAGTACTAATTACGGGCTCTACTGGTCAGATAGGAAAAAGCAAAGTCCATTATGCAATCTCCAGAACAAGCCCTTGGAGGAGACTTTTGCTGTTGGAAAATATCACATAAACAAAATAAAACATGGAATCAAAGAAGTGAAAAGTTAAATTTTTTTCTCTTGCCCCCATCCCCACTCTATTTCTATGATGTGACATTGACCCCATATATTCATTTTCTGTTTTGTAAAAAGAGAATGATAAAGAAATAATAAAAACCCTTTCTTAAAGGATCATCCATAACTTATATAGTGTGTAAAACTATGAGTCTCTACTATCTATAATCATAGGATAGAATGATGTTTTAAGTTCTTGCTACTTGAGAAAATGCAACATTAAATTAGTCCAATGCATAAAATGTGAGTTTGAACATCCCTCTTCAGTTGGCAGATATCATTACAAAATATGATGCACATTTTTATTAGAAGTTTTCATTGGAAGGAAGTATCTGATTCGAGAAGCAGAAATGTGTAGCTTGTTTTGAGCACACACACACACTCATGCACAGACACATACAACACAGGGCCACCTGCAGGGCCTTGCAGGCAGCTTGCAAACATCTCTGTGATCTCACCCTGCTACTTGTCAGGGAGCCTCTTGGCTGTGGCCATGTGCATACTTTACAGGAGCTTAGCATTGAAAGGACATATTTAAGAGTTTATAACTGTCTCTGTGACAGCAAGTTCTAATTTAAAACTCCTGTGTAATACTTGTTAGGAAGTTTTAATATCAAAAGGCCAGCCAAGGTCTTCCATGAAAAATTTCTAGACAGTGAAAGAAACTAATTCTTTTTAGTGATGTTTGGCTTCTTCTCTGCAGTAGGTGATCTTGATTTCATATTTTATATCCATGGTTTGTTAATGAAATATGCTCCTTTGAAGATCAACTGGAAAAAGAGGAGAAAATATAGCAACACTCTGTAATAAATATTTAAAGTGAAATTCACCACTAAGGCCAAATCTACCACTAAACTTTTAGGATGCTTTAAAGAAATTATACTTTGCTTTCTTGAGGGACTTCTGTGGATTGTATTCTTTGATTGGATGAATGAGCAGTGGGTGGCATTGGATCACTTTGTAGATATGCATTCCTTATAAAAGCATTAGCATGATTTCCACACTCCTAGTTCTTCTCCCTAAGTGGTTTGAGTACATGGAGACTACTGTCGCCACCTCACACTTTTACCTGTAAGGAATCCAGGACTTGTTACAATTACCTTGGGGTATGGTCACAGGTAAGGACAAGTAGCTGCCACACAATGCTCAAATCCTGCTTTGGCAAAAAGCCACTCGTGTGGTTGTCCTGGAGCAGTACTGGCTTGCACACCGCGAGAACTAAGAAATGTGATAGTCTCCTTCTGTAGTTGCCTTCTGGGAAAATCTTTGTCTCTCTACACAAAGCAAGTAAACACAAAGCTACGCATACTGAAACACAAGCGCATGTAGATTTGTGAATCCATGTGAATATAACTGGGGCTCTGGATCAGCATGCACAAACAATATTCCATTGACTTCACTGTCGTCATCAAGTATTATTAATACCTGCTTACCTGCACTGAGTGAAAAATCATGATTAAATGACCCACAAGATATTCTGAAAACTATTTTTCAGAATATTTCTTATTTCTACAGTCATCTCAAGTTACCTGACATTTGGTTGAATATTAATCTTTTCGAAAATGAATTATTTGGGCAAATAAAATGGGACCATTAATAGTATCGTATCTTTAGAGTACTTTCAGATTATAGGATGAAAAGACACTACTTCCAAAGAAGATGATGTATTAATGGTTCCTTTTCTCACTTATATGACATGCTGTTTTTAATAGTAATACACAATTCTCTGATTTCTTGATTTATCTATTTTTCTCTCAGTGTGCTGTATGCATATTTTATACGCTGTCTCATATACCCTTTGGAAAGTATTGTATCTATGTGGGGGAAGGATTGCTGGGAGGAGGAGTAGTAAATAAATAATATCTGATTTGCACAGGGCATTTAAATTTTTTAGACAATACATTTAACATCATGTTAGTTCAATGGATGTCATGCATTGATATGATTATCGTTTTCTTTCTCAATATAATGAAAAATGGGAATAATCTTTAATACTAATGAGTTTGTGTTTAAAAGCATTATTGATTTCTTTAGCTAAGACATTGCATTTCTTTATAATTCATGCTTTACTAAGATTTATTAACAAATACAACAGAAAATGGATTTTCCAGGCACCTATTAATAGGTGGGTGTCAGTCCAGAAGCACACAGCCTTCTGCAATTTGTGTTAGAAGAAAGCATGTTTTTGACCTAGTGATGGGTAACAGGCATTAAAGAAATTAAACAAATAATCTTTTGGCTATTCTCTTCACCACTGATAATTTCATACATGACAATGATTTACTGTGTTAAAAACTCATCATGAGGTTCCATGGCTGTGTGTTTGCAAGGTGGTTTACTAAATGCCACTGCAGGGTTGGGGAGCACATTCTCCTCTTCTCTTTACATGCTTTTCTAACTTCTCTACTCCCTCATCTTCTCTGACTATACAAACCCTTTTGTATGACTCCTCCCTGACTAACTAAAGCATTGCAGAATGAGAGATGTGTTTGTTCACACAGAGACATCACTAGTAATGGGATTCCCTTACATTGTGGCACCTCAATCAGTCCCTTCATCTCAGCTGGGCAACACAGAGATGGAGCGGTTTCTAACTCAAGATAATTGTTTACAGTGTTGGTAATTGCAGGTCACGGAGTATAAAGATGCACTGGCTGGGCACGGTGGCTCATGCCTGTAATCCCAGCACTTTGGGAAGCTAAGCCAGATGGATCACGAGATCAGGAGTTTGAGACCAGCCTGGACAACCTAGTAAAACCCCATGTCTACTAAAAATACAAAAATTAGCCGGGTATGGTGGCACATGCTACTTGGGAGGCTGAGGGAGGAGAATCACTTGAACCTGGGAGGCAGGGGTTGCAGTAAGCTGAGACTTTGCCATTGCACTCCAGCTTGGGTGACAGAGAGAGACTCCGCCTCAAAACAAAAGAAAATATCTTTACTCAGTATCCCAGGACCTCTCCAGCCTGGAGTTATCATATATTTCCAACCTTATCTTCTACCATTGCCAAAGTAATACTTTCTCTGTTCACTAAGTATCCTTTGTTGACGACATGCGGCTAATGTTGATACTCAACTGCCCTTTCCTCAATCACTGCCCTGAGGTTTGCAGGGGTTCGAAAGGCATCCCTGGCAACTCCACTGTGTTTATTGTCTTTCCATTGAATCTCCCTGGAACTCACTCCATGCATCATTTGACATTAGCAATTACTGTGGTTGGCTAACCATGATCTATCTGCCCTGCTACTTTTCCGTGTTACCTTCCACCGATCCCACTGGGCTGAGAGTCCTCTGAGGGGAGACATGAGATCCCATACCCTCTGTAATGACCAAAGCACCTTGCTCATGGTAATGGCTAACTATCTTTAAGTAACTGAATAATTGAAGAGTCATTAGATGAGGAGCAAGCAGGAATTAACACTTTTGAGCACTTATTATTTTCCAGGCACATCGCCAAGCATTTCACATTTGCCCTTTATTACTGTCTCAGAAGAGTCCTGAGGGTGGGTCATCTTCCTCCCAATTTACATTTGTGAACACAAAAGCTCCAAATTTGGTGCCTTGCCTAGAGTCAGCCCAATAGTGAGGAGTGGGCTGTACAATCCATGCTCACCATGGAGTCACACTGCATGA